CTCTTTCTTCTGTATGGAGGTGCTTGACAGGTACCTTCAGTGTCTCAATAGAGTATACCTTACTGATGGTGTAAACAGGATTAAAATAGTATGTTTTTTACTTAACAGCATGATTAGAATAGATAAGCTTCATAATTCCTCTATTTTTTTTTTTTTGCCTGTAAAAAAATTACAGAGATCTGGAAATTCTAACATTTGGGGCAGAAACTGTTTGAAGATAAATGCAATGTGTGAGACAGAAATGTGCCTCTTTTGTCACAATATAGTAATGAAAAATTTGCTCACATCTTCTAGGGCAATCATGACCCACGCATCAGTGCCTAAGAATGACAGAGATGTCCTTGGAATTAGTGACACATTGGTTCGACTCTCTGTGGGCTTAGAGGATGAAAAAGACATACTGGAAGATCTAGATCAAGCTTTGAAGGCAGCAGTAAGTCTTACTATTTTGTGTGTTTTTCACCTGGAGGGTATTATAGTTATAGAGAGGCTTCACTGTGAACTGTAAAGGCTTTCTCTTTCTACAAGAGGCAGGGAATGTAATCCTGCAGGGGTCTCTGCAAGTGCAGATTTAAAGAGGGGGAATGTCAGAAAAGACTTTTTGAGGAGATGAAGTTTTTACATAACAGTTTAATAACATATTTTTCTTGTGTACTCTTCATACAGCACCCTTCAAGTGGAAGTCGCAACTAGCATTTCAGAACTCCTAGTAGAAGCTTCTTCCTGAGAAGATGAAATCTCCTGAGTAATTGAATGGACCATTATCGAGCCTTTGCATAATTTTCAAGTGAAGATTTTAAGGCATCTTGTTACCTTTCACAACTGTAACCTTCTAGGGATCTTCCTGGTTAAGGCAGTTTTCTGTATCTCTTACTGTAATTGTCAGGTCAATTCTGTTAATATCTTTTTGTTAATTTTGCTATCCATTTGCCTCTGAAGGAGGTGAATTTCGTGCTGCTTTTTGGGATCATGTTCTTTATTTCATAGCATAAGATTTATTTTGATTATGTTTACAATATAATGGTAAATCGTTTTTGATGTTTTGTGAGGAATGTAAATTATTAAGTGAAGATTCTTAAATCAAGTGTGATTTTTGCATATTGTTGAAAAGGCAGTTCAAGTGATGGTTTACACTTAATTACCATAAGCCAAAAATCAAATACTTGAAACGTCCACTGTGAAATTCTACTGACTTAAGGTTGTACTTATTATTTTTTAAAAAATAAATCTAATTTTCAAATGTATCCCATTGTGATATTCATCTATTATATAACATTAACTCGTATTCCTGTCTTTTTCATTCCTAACAATGACTCTTAGAGGTCTCAACTGCCTATGTTAATTTTTATAAATTCAATTGGGACCAGCAGTTAGGGTAATGGCCATGTCGCTAAATTCCCATGTAGTCGACCACGGTTCGAGTCCCGCACCCAGTGGCTTAAACTCACGCCGGGTGCATGTGCATGCATGCCCAAGATCCCGAGAGGAGAATGGAGGAGAAGGGATTGCGACGTGGTCATCCCCCTGGGGGGTGATTTCTTGCTTTCTATCTCTCTGTCTCTCTCTGTCTGTCTGGTGAGCGCACACACCCTATAGTGATAAAAACCTCTCCAAAACAAAAAAAAAAGATGTATAAATTCAATTGAATAACTGTCATTCCCAAATCTTAGCGTTTGCCAATTGTCAGTTCTATATACTAAAGGTTATAGGGACATTAAAGGTTATTTTTATACAATAATACTATTTTTTTAAAGTTTATTTATTCCACGGATGAGAATCACAGAGAGAGAAACATATAGCATCCCAACAGTCTTGACTATATATCCACCCCCAGCTTAAGCCAGTTCATATCTTGGGCACACATGGCACCTGGTATACTCAGGGTCTCTGGACACAAACTTGCAACCTTCCCATGTGGGCTTACCTTACAGAGCATTCCATTTCACCCCTGTACCACTATCTTGCTCTGAGAAATATTACTTTTCAAATTTTTATCTGAAATAGTTTATTCCTTGATGTTAAAGGAATAAGTTTAATAATGTTAAAAGAATAAGTGTATGTGGGGTCAGCAGATGGAATAATCATTACATCACTGGACTCCCCCCTAGTTGACCACTGGTCCGAGTCCCAGACCCAGTGGCTTAAAACTCATGCATTGGAGCATGTGCGTGCGTGCCCAAAATCCTGAGAGGAGAATGAAGAAAGGATTGTGGTGTGGCCATCCCCGATTGTGGTTATGCCAGCCCCCCGGGGGGGGGGGTGATTTCTCACTTTCTGTCTCTGTCTTTCTGGCAAGCACATGTGCCCTGTAGCAAAAAAACTCTCTCTCTAAAAAAAAAAAATAAGTGTATAATCTGCAGGTTATCAATAAGCCATAAGTCAAATAATTAAATTCTGATAATTAGTTTTGTATACTTTTTTTATGTCAGAGAATGTGTGCACATGCACAAGAGAGACAACACATGCACAAGAGAGACAACACACTCCCCAATGGGACCTGGTCATGCTACAATCCTTTTTCCTCTAATTCTCCATCACATCAGAATCTTGGGTGCATATGTGCATGTATGGCATATTTTTCAAGCCAGCAGGGCTGGGACTGAAACTCTGATCAGCCATGTGCGATTCAGTTTCTCCTGTGCAGTGCTTGACTGCTGCACAACAGGGTTGACCCAAGGCTTTCTGTCCTACATATTACATCTCAATATATATTTTTTCAGTAAAAGTAGGAATATTATAGAACTGGAAGAATAATAGTGCTGAGTAGGAGAATATCCAAGGATACACATTTTTTTTTTTTTTTGGAGAGGTTTTCACTATAGGGTGCGTGCACTTGCCAGACAGACAGATACATAGAGACAGAAAGCGAGACTTCGCCCCCTGCCCCGGGTGGATGGTCACTCCGCAATCCCTTCTCCATTCTCCTCTCGGGATCTTGGGCACGCACGCACATGCGCCCAGCCTGAGTTTTAAGCCACCGGGTCCGGGACGCGAACCGCGGTCGACAACGTGGGAGTCCAGCGACATAGCCATTACGCTAACTGCTGGTTCCCCAAGGATACACATTCTTATCTATTATCCACGTTCTGATCATATGTAGAGTCTGGAAATGATGTCTCTAGAAGCAGCAGCAATGTGTGGCAGGTTATATCCCCTTATGGTGAAGATTTGATTTCTTGTCATCTCAGGACCTTAAGGCTGTGGAATAAGGACTAACCAAGCAAAAAAAACAAAGGCTATGTACTTACTAGAGTGAGGGAGTTAACCACTGTCTTCTGGAAGAGACTCAAAGCCAGGCAGAGAGGTAGAAAAGCTTTGAAGTGGAAAAAAATGAAAAGGCATGCCCTGATTGGAGCCTATTGGTATAGAGAAGCTGGAGGTAGGCTAACTAAGGGGGGGTACCTGATGTGACTGGTAAGGGTGCATGTTTTGCTTTCTTTTGTTGGTCCTGCGCTGGAAACAGGCAATGTTAGAGAAGTTGTGTTATTAATGAAATGGTGACCATTTGGGGCCAGTTGTGACACAAGTTAATGTTTAGTGTCATTAGAGATGGCAGTCTAGCTTTCTTCAACTGACTTATGGCAGGCTGACTTGGGTTACTTATTGTCAATAAGGAGGGTGGGCCTCTGAACTCTGCAGTGCTGGAAGCCATATGGCCAGCTGTGGGTTTGGATCCCCTTTCGACCTGAAAACTCACCAGGTTGCAAGCATCCAAGATCCTGATGAGCAGAAGGGCTATGGGAACAGGATTTGGTGTGATGGGACCCTGCCAAGGTCATCTCTCTCTCTCTCTCTGTCTCTTGTACATGCTCTCTCATGAAATGAAAAAATAAACAAATGCAATAAGGGGTTGGTTTCCTGGACAGGATGCTGGAGGTTGTGGATCAAAGTTCTATTTTTACGCATGTACATTCAGTCTCTTTGGGCTTTTGGCGAGCAGTATGTAACTATCATTGTGTAAGGAGTTCCCCATACTAATAGACTAATAGGATGTTAATATGTGTGTGTGTGTGTGTGTGTGTGTGTGTGTGTGTGTGTAGAGAGAGAGAGAGACAGATGTTTTAAGGAACAGCTCAGGAGATTGTGGGGGCTGGCAAGCCTGCAATCTATGGGCAGGTTTCATTCACAAAGAGTCTTGAATTTAGACTTTTAAATGTTATTTCTAAATGCAATAGAGACGAATAAACAAATGCTACAATTTTGTAACCTCAAATTTTTGCATTTCTTTACTCTTTAATATTGGTAGTGTCTAAATTGAACTATCACTTGACCTGCAAGAAGCATTGTTTTTTTAAAAAACAGAATTTCTGTTCCTTGTTTTTATTACATCCTCAAAATCTCATCTGTTTTCTACAACCAGCTCAAAGGCTTTCTCTGTGAAGCCATTTCTAATCTTCCTGGGTGGAAATGATTTCTCTCCATGTCTTAATGCTTTTTCATTTTCTTTTTTTTTTGAAGAGGTTTTTTGCTATAGGGCGTGTGCACTCACCAGACAGAGAAACAGAGAGACAGAAAGTGAGAAATCACCCACCAGGGGAGATGGCCATGCCACAATCCCTTCTCCTCCATTCTCCTCTCGGGATCTTGGGCACACACGCACATGCACCCAGTGTGAGTTTAAGCCACCGGGTCCGGGACTCGAACCGTGGTCGACTAAATGGGAGTCCAGCGACATAGCCATTATGCTAACTGCTGGTCCCTCCATGTCTTAATGCTTTTAAACTAGGTTGTAGGCTTCATGTGTGTAAGGATCTTGTTCTATTCTTCTAGTAGATACTTGATACCTCTTAGAAATTAGAAAAAAATTAATTTGGGTAGAGGCCTATAGCTGTCCTATTTTCTGCGAGGAATCTTTCATTAAATTTTATTTTTCTCTTTATCTCTCTCTTGGTCTGTTTCACTTTTTCTCTCTCCTTCTCTCCT